ACGCTGGGACAAATGACAGGGCTCCCAGTGAAACAATCTGCGTCCCGGGATCGATGGCATATGATTGAAATGCTGGTTTGAGAAGGAGAAAGTTAAAAACAAAAACAAAGCCCTCATTTGTAAGAATTCCTGCTCACCTTTCCCCAAACACTCCCCGTTAGTCAGTCCGGTAGCACATCAGCTAGAACAACAGGTGAACTTTGCAGAAGCTGGATAATGTTCTAAATCAGCAGGTACATGAATTTCTTCACTGTGACGGACATTTAATGTTACTTCTTTCTCTCACTGGATGTGGATTTATTTTAATAATCACCCAACACTGCTGTGCCGTGGCTGCAGCCCAGTAACACATGCATGTTATTAGAGCCGAGGTGGTTCTCATTCTAACGGACTGTATCTGTGTTGCAATCCCACGCCGAGACCCCAGCGTGGTTCTAATCAATTAACCCATTTTTGTGGGAATGAAAATATCCCCGGGTAGTGAGAACTGGCTTTATTTTGGATGATCCGAGCGATTCACAGAATGTACAGAGAACACAAGCCCGAGGGGAGATAACACTTCACCGCGGTTCCGTTAACAAAACAGGCACCAGAGTGGGATGCTGAACCTCCGTGATTCTTCTGCCCCCGGTGAATGGAAAAGAAAATATTTTTTGGGTTGTGTTTTTTGGGAAAGGGAGAAAGTGAAAGAGTCATGTTTTAGAAACCTAAAGGTGCTGCAGTAATAGTTTAACCCCTCAACAGACGCTTTGGTTTCCTGTTAAAGATGGAGTCTGTGGTTCTGAAGAGAGCTCCATAATTAGCTCGTTAGCATATTGAGTTTAGCAGGGGCCACGTTGACCACTGCCCCCTTGTCGCCCGTCTCTTATGTTTTCCTCCTTTTTCGTGCACCAGCGTGAACGTGCACCAGCTTGAACCTGCACAGGACATGCAAGAGTAGAACCGTACTGATCCAGACTCTGCTGGATTAGAACTGGTTTAGTCCCAAATTCCTGTTTTATCAAAAGGAAATATTTAAGATATCTTATGCATCATTTTATATTCATTCTATCAGCCTGACATGTTTTTTATTCTTGAAAACTTTGCATTTCTGGACTCTGGGCTGTGATTTTAAGTGTGGTTTGTTTGTTTAGTGGCTTCGAGCAAGGTTTGGATGCGTGGCATAAGTTTGTAATAACAGCTCACAGGGATTTTATTTGGGTCACAATAATGGAATGATTAAAATCGGCTTTCTTCTTTAATTCTACTGATGTTGTTCTGCAAACTTTGAAAGAGGAAAATTAGTTCAAAAGGAAAGTAGAAGGGCTTCAGTGACCTGTTTCACAGAACATGCACCAAACCTTCTGAGCTGGATGCTGTATGACTGTGGTGGGTTTAAACTGTGGTCTCTACGTGTTTCAGCAGCAGATCCAAACAGAACACAGCACATTAAAACAGAAACTGAAAATCTGCATTCACCTTTGTGAATGTTTTATTTCCTAATGTGAGATTAGAGAGCCGTCTCACAGGAGAGGCAAATCCATCCACAAAGTGCAGAAGAACAAACTGAGTGCGTGGATTCATTCACACTCATTCAACTCAGCTCAGAACGTTTTACTTAAATCAGATGTGCTTGCTTTCTTTACTGCTTCACTTACTCCTGGGTATCCCCATGATTAGGACCTGCTCGCATGCCGCTGTTGTTTAAAGATGTTTGTGTGTCTCTGTGTGCATGCTCAGTATGTGCCTTTGTGTTTGTGTAATTCGGCTGGGGTGGTATGCAAGGTAGCCCGGCAGCAGATCCAAGAATGTGTTTACAAAGCCTCGTCGTCGCTTCGGAGCAAAAAGAACAGTTGGATAATTATATGGGTTAGTAAGCTAAAAATGTCAATAAAAACATGTCTTTCTTTTTCTGGGGCACAATATGCAGCGTGGAGCTACGTATGGTGACGCTGACACAACCAAACACCACCAGCGGGTCCACGTCATGGAACAAAGAGCTGCCTGAAAGAGCCACACGTTGGGTAGCTGTGCTTAAAGTTGAAGTAATGCTCTCCTTAATATCATTTCTTATCATTAATATCAATATTCGTACCGTCAGTGGTCTCAGTGGAGTCTGTCAAGAGAAGAGAGAGAGTTTCTAAGCTTTCTGCTCCAAGGACGCCATCTTGTGGTCAAACACCAGAATGAAGCGTCGCTGTATCTGTCCAGCCTGTGGATGGTGTTCTGCAAAACTATACACTAAAAAATGACCCGCTGCTGGGACTTGTTTTAGTGTCCACACTGGACCTGAATGGAGGTGAGCTTACTGTGTGGTACTGCAGCTGGGCCCTTTAATCCCTGCAGCGGTTCCACTTCGCTGAGGCCGCGGATTCTCATAAGTTGCGGGACGTTATCGCCTATCGCCAATCTGCTCCATTAGAAAAATATGCGAATGCAAAAAGATGCCCTGCATGCCGATCACAATTTGCCCACGCACATGTGTGAGCACTTTGCAGCCCTTGTTGCCTGCTTCCCATCAAGGCATTCCACGACTGTTGTTGTACAAATAAGCGTGTTTATTATCTCTGTCCTAAAGAGAGCGAGGCCGGCCGGCCCGTCTTCACACAGGAACAAACCCTGAGCCAAGGCAGCCACAACCAGCCCCCCTCCGTCTCCCACCAACCTCTGGCAGCCATGTTTTCACAACCCAAGATAACAGAGGAGCAGGAGAGGATGTGGAGACTGTTTGATAAATGACTCGCTCGTATGTGGGACTGTGTGTGATGGAGCGAGAGAGAGGGCGAGACAGAGAGGTGTAGGGAGATGTGGAGGAGTTGACATGAAGATGCATTGTGAGGTCATCACGCTGTTTATTCACCCACTACAACGCTGTGGGTTCATGAGGGACTCTCAGGGCAGCAAGTGTTGTTTCAGGATGTTGCAATGATGACAGGTTCCTCGAGGAACTCACTCATATTTCTCTACGTTTCCCAAGAAGTCGGGTCACTTTGCCAAGACGCGTTTCAAAATGAAACTACTCTCGCTGCTCTTTATCTGTGCAGCGATTTATCTGGCTTAGCGCTCCATTCACCTCGCGCTCAGGACCAGCCCTCTGCAAGATACGTCAAGTCGAGTACTCCAGACGTGTTTTGTTGCACAGTAAATGTCATTTAGGCGTCCCGGGGCGAGCTCTGCCTAAAAGGCGAAGATGTGATGTTGTGCACAAAATGGACTATTAAGTCTCTTAGCAATAGCAGCCGAGTTGGGTGGGCTGTGGAACTTAGGCAGCAGCTGAGCCATCACCTCCAGGGCCTGCATTAACTCATAAAGATCACTGTCTCTTCCAAACACACACACACACACACACACACACCGAGGCTGTGTGTGTGTGTGTGTGTGTGTGTGCGCTCATGTGTGCAAAATGTGAGAATGTGCATGATGCATGTCTGTGTTTCTGAAAGCATGATGAATTACACTTTTTAGCGCATGTTTCATCTGCAGAAAAAAGAAAAAGAGAGATTGCTTCATTTCAGGTTCGTATCGAGCGTGTGTCGTGTCTCCCACTCCCATGATTACAGCGTTTGGTATCAGATGAAGCCCCACACGGCGCTGATCTCTGGATGTGCCCTTTGTGTAAGCAACATCTCACTGCTAGATTGATAGAGCATCGGGCTGGAGTTCACACAAATGGAGGAGCATTATCGTGTCGGGTTACGGTTCTCACTCCGTGTTCCTGTCTTACTTTCGTTATCTTCCTTCCAGGCTCTCCGTCCCTTTTTGCTTTTTCCTCTGTTCAATCATTTCCTCTCCCGTGTCACTCATTCCTTCATCGTGGCCCATTCATTTCTCATTTTTATGTAATTCCTCTTGTTTTACTGCAACACAGTTTACATGGTGAACAAAAGCAGCAAACCTCCACCGTAGTGGATAAGCAACGGCAGGACACTATTCATCTAACCGATCTACGGGAACGAGCGTCTGCAGAGGAGCGCTGTAGATCCGTCTACAGCGGCAGCCTTTCATTAGTGCTCTGTGTGAGGCTGTATCTGTACGAGCGTAAGCACTTAACATAGGTGGAGACAGAAACTCATCTCTATTAGGAATAATATTGCATTCCTCAGGCACTATTTCTCTCTCAAAGGGACACATGGAAAAATACGCCCACTCTAACCTGGCCACACACTCCTACGGACACACACACACACACACACACACCGACAAAGACAGACACATGCAGCCACATGCACACAGATGTCGACAGGCAACTATATTTATACCAATCCTCCAATAAATCTATCTGCTCACTTGTCTATTTTCTCTGGCTTTGCCCATGCAGCTCTGAATGCCTGCACAGGTTAAAGACAGGAGGAGGAAGGAGGAGAGGAGGAGGAAGGAGGAGAGGAGAGGAGAGGAGAGGAGANGAGAGGAGAGGAGAGGGCAATAGAGTCTAGAGGGGGGGCAGGAGGAGACAAGTGCCCCATGGCATTTTCCTCAGCTCTGGCCTCCCTCTCTTGTCTTAAACACAACTCCTGGCCCGAGCGCTACACACCACCGTGCAACAAATTCCTGGAAAATATGAACTTGTGTCAACTTGTACAGCTCAAACTAATACAGGCCCACTTTTCTTTCTTTCTCTTTTTTTTCTCTCCCCCTTGTCTTTTTATTTCTGCAGCTAAAATACCTCAAAACAATACCTGTTCCTGCTGAGTGGCACCGACAATCTAATGTGGAAAGGATCCAGTTTAGATTTAAAAAATCATCACTGAAGTCAGAAACTAACTCGACCTTGTGCTTGTGTAGAAAAACAAACTTGGGAAATTCTCATAACAAGGGTGGGACGACTGCAGAAGAGAAAGTGATAAGAAATTAAATTAGTCACCAAGTGTTGTGTCTGGTTGCTGCTGCTCTGCTGCTCCTTGCATCATGCAGCCTTTAGCAGGACAGGTCTGATGTGAAGCCTCCACGAGAACATTTACTGAACAGTGTTTAGTGGTTTGCTTTATTTGAACGAGGATTTAAATGTGAGCCGCTGGTCGCTGTTGTCACTTTAAACATGTATGTTTAATGAACATTGCATCGTAACATCCAAATATGAAGTGATTTCTGCAGAATACAATGATGAAGAGCAGAAGAAAATACAAAGCAACAGAGGTCAACCTGCATTTAAATAAACGACAGACGGATGTGAGATCTGGGTTCAGTTAACAGCCATCACCGAAACCGTCACTACGGCCACGTTTCTGCTGAATGCCTCCTTCCATGTGCTTTCTTCGGGCCATGTTCATTCATTTACTTGTTTATTTTACATCAAACCTGGTCAGAATAATGCTGGAAAACTGGAAGAAATGGAAATAATCTGACTGCTTAAACACCACGACTGCAAAAACTTGAAACCCCGGTTTTGTTCACACAGAAAGTTTGTGGGCTTCTATCACAAAATATAGATGAAGAGTTTCAGTCCAAGATGTAGACGTCAGATTAGCAGACAGCAAAACGGATTCTCCTGACAGAAGAGTCGATAATAAAAGTTGGTCGTTGGCCCTGCAAAACGCCGTCATACAGCAGATAATGAAGGTAACTGTGGGGACGATGCATCAGCAGCTGGAAGATCCCAACGAGCTGACTCTAAAGATAAGATCCTACCTGAACACTCGATCAAACACACACACACACACACACACACACACACAGAGAAAAACCCTTAACAGAACAAGTTGAAGCAAAGTAGTGTCATAGTTCGTTATACTCATTGTCGGATAATAAAACTTTAAAAAAGTGTAAATGAGATGACATGATAGGTTTATGGGAAACATACTTCCCCTGAAAACGAACAACAAATAAAAGATCTTGTCTGTCCCGCTCAGAGACGGAGCGTCGAGGAGCCGTGTGCTTTAACAACCAGCGTAACGCAGTTTAACGTCAGGCAGCAACTCATAGGTACGTACACAGCCACTGTCCGCTGAAGGATACGGTGATAACTGGCCAACCTGCACACACACATCATCACACACATCATCACAAACACTCACACACACACACACAGAATCAGAAAAAGCTAACATCCAAAGTGCATTATTATATCAGCCCTGTATATCATAATAGATAAACAAAATACATCATATACATGTTCTCATGAAAACAAAGGTTCCTCTTTTGGTTCAGAACAAACAGCCAAACCCCAGAAGGTTTTTTTCTTGCCAATCTGTTGATGAAGTCCACGGCAGTTGTTGTATAAAAAGTGCTTCTGAGCGAGATGGAAGTGAGTCGTCCTATCGTCACGTCTGTACATAAATAAGAGTCTCTGCTGGCAGCACGGCGGCGAGAGCGTTCTTCAAATATCAAAATGTGAGACCGTTTCCCTTTTCTTTTTCTTTTTCTTTTTTTTCCCCCCATAATTTCAAAGGAGCAGAAAAACTGACTCCAGACCAGCATCTTCCTGTATTTGCATTGAACAATGTATTCTGGGATGTAGGATGTAAAGATGTTCTGATTCTTGGTGAAGTGGAATCACGTATATGATTGTTTACCGTCAGATAGCAGAACACACATGTGGAAGCAGAATGGAAGCACGGGATCATGGGCCGTAACCCTAATCTGTCTGTTGTTCTGAAGACAGCGACGACTCTGACAGATTTAAATAGCAGAGAGCACAACGAAACAAACAAAACAGTCATTATAGGCTTAAAGGGTTTCATAGTCAGTTTATGAAGTTGGGTGAAACAGGCTGATGGTTGAGGCCACACCGAGCTCTGCTGCTGATCTCCTCCATGCAGGGCTGCATAAGTCCTGCTGTTTCATTAAAATAGAACATTCTCTGGTCCTTTCTCATTAACAAGGAAACAAAACAATAGGTAGCTCAGAAAAGAAAGTCCTTCTTGTTTCCATGCGGTGTCTCTTTTGGCTGCCACCTCTTAAACTCACGGGAACCAAAAGAAGATTGATTTCAAATGAACGTCTTCTGGGGGCATCGACTGTCAGACATGGAAATAAAAAGGATCATCGTGAGAATCCCTTCCTTCTTTCCTACGAGCCAAACTAAAGCAAGAACGTCAGAAACAGTAACAGAAGTAGTTTTAATGAACCGAGTAATGTGACCGGCTTCAGCCCAGTTCATCAGTGGCAGATGCTGAGCTCTTTCCGGACCAAGCACTTCTTGCACTGGACAACACAACACCAGTGGAAACGACACAAGCAGTTCTCCTCAAACACCACCGTCTCCTCCCGGTAGCCTCGCTCGCAGCACAACAGGTCGCAGCCGCTGATGTCCATGGCTGTGCTGTTGCACATGCGGCCCCTTGTTCCCAGCGAGCCTGTTTTCCGATTTGCGAGGCAGAAATCTGGAGACTCGTCTGAGTAGATGAGATCCTGCTTGTCTGGCGGCTTGATGTTCTGGCCCACAGGGATCAGGGTCTTGCCATCATTGCCGCCCATCACTTTGGAAGCGCCGTTAAAGCGCTCCAGCAGGCGGTCGCCTACCTCACGGAAATGAGGCATCTTTTTCCAGCACGTGCGCAAGGTGCACGAGCCCGACAGGCCGTGGCACTTGCACTCAGTCCGCATGTAGAGCTTCACTGCCTAGCAGGGAGAAAGTGTGGAGGAGGGAGGGGGTGAGCGTTGAGGGTTTTGGGTGGTGGAGGGGAAGAGAGGGGTGAAGGAGGGCAAGCAGGTAAAAAAAAAGAGAGAGAGAAGGTCGATCAAACAGGAAAAAAATGGGACAAAGAACTTTTAACTTGTACCCTAAAGTGCAGCTTCTGACAAATGACAAGTTCTCTGGAGAAGAATTTATTGTTCTGTTTTCATGATATATCGCAGACAAAGCCACCGGATCACACACACACACACACACACACACACACACACACACAGATAGATAGGTAAGATAAAAGCAGACGCTATTCAGAAGGAATTTAACTCCCCAACCCCCCTCTGCCTCCATGTTGCCTCTGGCCTTCCTACATCTAACAAGCCTTGACAACAGATCATTCACTTATACTGCACATAATTAACCCATCACACACACACACACACACTAAACACACACACACACGCACACACACACACACCTGCCCACTTAGACACACACACACACCTATGTGTATACAAGTATACATGCGTGTGCACATAAACAAACTTCTGGGATCGTCACAATTCGTCTGTTTCTCAACGTCTGGGAATTCGTGTGCAAGTTTCTACTTCTGTTCAAATGGTTTGTTTGTTAATGCTACAATTGGACTCCATCCCAGAAGCCTCCTGTGCGCTCTTCTCTTCCTCTCTACCTGCCTTTGACCCCGACAGCGCTGAACTTTGTGACTCTGTGCGTGCGTCAACATCTCAGCGAGCGGTTTGTAACGAAGCAACACCAACAGAAGTGGAAGCTAAAAGCAAACGTGATCCGGCAGATTTGCCAAGCTTCACTATAAATTAACCTAATTAACTTATCTGAAAAGTTGCAACTTAATCTGCACTCTTCTGGTAGCATGTCGAAGTGTCACGGCCATAACTCCATCAATGTTCCTACCAGCAACAAAGAAGAACTTTAAACCTGTGTGAGGACTGTGGAAACGTTAGAGGCTACCTGCCTCGGAGGCTTGAAAACAAAATGTGTGGCACGCTCTTGTTTTTTTGTTTCAGAAACCTGATTCTTGTTAGAATATCAGCTTACGGCACTACACAACTATGACTGGAGGCCATGTCTTTCTCTTTTGTATGTTCGTGGAATGGAGGAACATTCCACAGAACAAGCAACACCTTTGCTGCTTTCCGGGAGTCTAGTGAAACATCAGACCTGTGTTCAGCACAGCAGCAGCCAAAAATACACTCTTCATCCAGTGCACTGATGTTCTGCTTCAAAACGTGAATCAGAAACGTGTGAAACTATCCTCACCAGCCTCCCGGCTTCGTTGTTGTGCAGGTCGATGAGCGTCCTGATGTCGCTCTTGCCTCTCCTCCGCTTGGCGTCCATAAACTGTTTGGACTTTTCATAACCAAACTCCACATCGTCTCCGCAGCCGCCCCACTCCCACTTGACGCCGTCCCCAGAGGATGGAGACGAAGCCGGCCTCGGAGGTGCTCTGTTCCTGGTCGCCTCGCAGCCACACTGCAGGAGGTCTCCCATGCTGCAGGCCTGGGTCACGGCGTGCGTCACGCCGGCCGCCGTGATGGCATAAACGAACGCCGTCTCCCGGATATCTGCAATAAAAAAAGAGACTTTACTTTATTGAAGTCTGGTTTGGACACAAAGTCACCAAGAGACGGAATCATTTCACCGTGACTTTGATGCCACTAAAGTATAATCAAAACTTAAGAGGCTCACTGCCACCCTTTAGAACACTGTTACTGAAGTTGCTTTCACTCATCACTTGTTACCTGAAGCAGTGGTTAAACGCTGGTACTTTAAGTGTTAAATCAGGAGGCCTTATGGGGTCAGTGACAGTACAGTGGAACAGTGGACAGATGGTGAACGTGGAACCTCTGGGGGAGTCCTGTGATGTCCGGCACCGGGACATTGGCAGCAGACCCTTTCGGTGCTGTGGTGTGCATCCCATGGATGCTCGAACAGATTGGGATCTGGGGAGTTTCATGTTCCTGGAACTGTTCTCCAGCAGCTTTTGCGGTGTGGCAACAGGGCAAGAGGTGCTGTCCTGCCGGGGGAGGTCGCTGCCATCGAGGAGCGCCATCACCACGGCGGTGTAGGTGGGTGGTGCCTGACTAAGGCCACGTCTACACGTAGCCAGTATCGGTAGCCAGTAGCCGATCCACGTTTTCAAATATAACATTGTTCACACCAGATCGTTTTAAAAAAGATCTTCATCACACAAACCCGCATAAACACGTCGTTCAGAGCTGCTATGAGCTGCCAGACCTGTAGGGGGCAGTGTAACGAGAAGCATAAAGCCGTGCTAGCCAATCAGAATCCTGGAAAAACACAACAATGAAAACTTCCTGTTACTTCAATGATAGTGAGGTGGTTTGTTTGGACCGACAGAGACATGGAGCTGCTCCTGCATGTGCTGTTAGAGACACAACAAGGAAAATACTGAAAACATTGACTGTAAACACGTCAGTCCATATATGGACGAAGCCAAACTGTAAACATGGTCGCACACATGTGACGCTGATGACGCTTTAGTCGCTCACTGTGACGTCAGACTCCGCCTCCTCCTGTCTACGTGCAAACATAAAAACTGAGTTTTTCCAGATCTCCACTGTGGCCAGAGGTTTCAGATCTGATCGTTTTCGGTGACTTGTAGCTTCGTTTACGGGGAAACCAAAGGCCCAGACACATCGACATATCACCGTTTTTGCTACGTGTAAACGGGGCCTCAGTAGCATCCACATGAATGCCAGGTTTCCCAGCAGAACAATGCATCGCAATGAAATGATCAATGTTATTCAGGTCACCTGTCAGCGGTTAGGGCCGATCGGTGCACGAGCACATGGTAAATATTTACACGTTACACAACACAAGTCAAAGGAGCGAGCTTCCAATCATCCATATATTCATGCAGGCGTCCGTCTCTGCATCCAGCCGCTCGCTATCTGGCTTCACTGGAACAGGATGAAAGGATTTTCCTCTCAGTCCTGCTCCATTACTACAGTCTCGAGCGTCACTGGATTTGGTGGTGCTGAGAGGCCGGCTATTTGTTTCTGATGTACACATATTCACGCAGTCACACACTCAAACACACCGCAGCTGCCGGTTTATTTCGGGTGTGGAGCTTAACGCTCGTAGCTGAAGGCACGTCTAACCACAACTGCAAATTGAACGTCTGTCCTCCCCGGTGGCTTCAGCATCATCGTCGCCCTCCACTCAGCACGTCTTTATCCTCCGTTAGCGCAGATATTGTTATTCACTCGATGAGAAGGAAAAAAAAAAGCAGCTATAAAGGAATCTTACTGGGCAGAAATTAGAGAACTACTGACAATCACTTAAAACCAGTCCATTCTGCTGTTGTCAGACATAAACCCTTTAATACAGTGGAGCTGGGACAAATCTCACATCTTCTACAGTTTCTGTATTTAGTCCGTCAGTGCTCAATTAAATAAATATTTGGTCAGGTTCAGGACAGAAATAGAAAAGAAAGGTAATATTGTATTCTAATTATAAGCAATTCTCATAAAAAAGACCAAAACCAACAATCGGCCGATGTGCTAACTAGCACTGTGGAGCCTGTGGTGCTGCTCCTTCCCATAGACGTCTATTGTTTTCTAAAAACTATTAAATGAAATGTTGTTAACCTGACATGTTCCTGAAACACATCTCTGCTGTGTCCTTTCCACCCACACAGCACAATTATCCCAAATGTCTTTTTGGTCACAGTTGAGAAAAATACCGATCAGACGGCTGGATGGATCAGTTCCACCACAGAACCACAGTGTCCAGCTGTGTCATGAAGCTATCCAGCTTTTCCATCCAGCATGTTAATGTTTGCAGGTTCACATGATTGTAATGTTGACCGTGCTAGCTGTGTGTCAGAACTGTGTCGCTGCACTAACGGCGATGTGCAGCTGATTCTGATAAGAGATTTTCTTTTATTTGGTCATAAACTACATTTCATGACAATCAGTTTAACAGTCACCCAAATACTCCATTCATCTTACTTACTAAACCGCAAATGTCAACCAGCTGATGGTGCTCGGGGAGTCGGCGGATTGCGAAGGTCTAATAATTGTTGAAATATTTCCGTCTGGACCACAGTAATGGACCCAACAAGGGACCGGCCAAAAAGCATTACCACCCAATCACTACAGCCGTGTCATCTGGACTGAACGGAGCAAGCAGGCGGGCCCAATCGGTCGGAACCTCGATGATTGGAAAAGCAGAAGTTTGATAAAAGATGAACAACGAGGCGAGGGGACGTACGTCAGTTTGCAAAAAAGCAAATCTTCGTAACAACAACCATAGCGAGACTGGATTCGAGGTTGGGGTAAGGTTAGTTTTAGGTTAGAGCTAGGCACGTATAAGTCATGTAAACATGTAGTAAGTCCCCAGGAAATGAATGTAAGTCGACTTAATGTCCTCTGAAGTGAAAGAAACACGACCGTGCGAGAGACTTTGAGGTCGAAAAGAGAATATTCCGTCCATTATATGGTGTGTGGAGCCTAAGCGTGGGACTTTTATTTCTAAGAGCTGGAAGGCGGTGAGCGTGCAGTCACCACCGTCACCGCTGCCAACTCCATATCGCATGATTCACTGAATGGGATTCATTAGGAATGGTAACACACACACACATGCAGAATGGGTGGCGTGTGACGAAACCTGCACACCCCAGCGCGCCGTGATATCAATACCAGCTGTACACCCCGACACCCAGAAACGTCTCCAGCGCAGGCCAAGTATATGAGTCCGTGTCGCTGTGTGTGAAAAGCATTGTTTTATGTAGTTTTGACATGTCACAAATAGTCTGCCGAATTCTTTATCTCATGGTTTGTGTTTGTTTGGGATTGAATGCCAGCTTAAATAAATCACCGAACCGCGTCGTATACGTAACGTTATATGTGTGTAGCGGTGCATGCCGAGCATTTCTACATGCCCTGGTTACGGCTCACAGAGACCACACCTCATTGTTCCTGCTGTTCAGCAAAACAGGGCCGGGATTTTTTCAGGAGCTGCGAGATACTCGAATCAAGATGTGTCGTCTCCAAAACATCGCTGCATCTATTTGGAGACGTGTGTGTGTGAAATATCAGCACAAGAGTAATTATTGGTACAATACGGTGATAGGAACACGAGCTGTGTCCAGGCGAGCTGGGAGGCCGTCCAGATGTCCTCGAATGCACCGCAGGAACGCTGCATTCAGTCGAGGAAAGTCAAGTTGGAAATGTCATGTTGATGTTCATTTCAAGTATTTTTTTAAACTATTTTTGCTTTTGTTGTGTTTTTCTTGCTAAAACGAAGGCATCAATGAGCCTGGAGCAAAGATTCCCCTCTCTCTGAAACTGGACAAAGAAAGTGGGCCAAAGTGAGAAACACCACACAGTGAGAGGAAACGAGAAAAAAAGGGGAGAGAAAGAGAGAGAGAGAGAATAAAGACAGTCGAAGAAGCTATCAAAAATCTGATGATTTGAGGCACCCTGTTCCACATTTTCCTTGCAGACATGAATTCCAAACAAATTCTCTGCCATGGTGGGTGTCTGGGCCTGTCTACGTCTGCTTCCAATTCCAAACGGCCCTTCTGCAGCGTTTCGCACATATTCTTTTAATCACTTTTCAACTTTTGGGCAACGATACAAGAGATGATCGAGTGCGCTGATGACCTCATCGTCCAGATAAGCAAGCGATTAAAAACACATACGTTTTTCCAGAGGACGAAGCGTTAATTCTGCGGGTCGCTAGTTTCCGTGGTCTCTGGGACACCTGCAGTGAGCGGCCCAGCCTCAGAAAGAAAAACAGCTCTGGTCAGTTGTTTCAGGGAGTAAAATGACCGACGGTGGTCGACCTCTTCAGGTCGTGTGAGTCAGTGCCTGCTAAAGCCCAGACTTTCCAGTGGTGCTGTCGCTCCTCTCAGTCGGGCCGTCGATAGTCACCCTGCTAACTGCTGCAGATGTGAAAACTAAATAAATAGGTTTGGTCGCTAAACCTACCAAACAGTGAAAAACAAACAACAACATCCCACACAGGACATAAAGCCCACCCTCCCACCACCACAGATCCCACCTCCGAACAAGACCTGGCCGCTCGATGCCTCGCAAATGCTCATGTATGTTGTTTTCTGCAGACATACGTGTAAATGTGGAAGTCACTGGCAGTTGGCAGCCTTATGCAAAGGTCAGCGTCTGCAGCTTCAGCTGCTGGAGGCTGCAATACATCCTGAAGCATCTGTTCTGCCAGGATGACCTTTAAAGGAGCATTCTGATTTATTCCAACCGGCCACATTTCCCACTAATGTGGCTACTGGGGCTCTAAGCACAAGACTGACTTTGCCTACCTCACCCCATTCTTCTTGTCTTGCCCTCCCTTTGATTTCTCTCCTCATCTACGGCCTCTGAGAACATCAGGACACTGGAATGAGCTACTGTTGTCCTGATCGTGCTCTATCCAGTAATGATCCATCCCATTGAACTGCTGTGTTTCCTCAGAAGATCATGTGACCTCGCTCATGTAAACACACCGGTACGCTCTGATGAATATTCTGGTGATGAGGTCAGCTGGCAGGTATCCCTGGATGGAGATCCCTGATGCAGTTAGC